TATAATTTTTAAACACGGTGTTATTAATAATTTTTTTCTTACTAATTTGTATATATAAAACTAATTTAAAAAGATAATATCACATTATTCAAAAGAGAACAAATACTTAGGGATTAAGTTATGAATGCAAAAAAATTTATTAATAACACCGTGTTTAAAAATTATAACAAGTTCTAAACAAATTATAAGTTCTAAACAGTGGCAACAAATTCTTATAAGTTCTAAACAAGTTCTAAACAAATTACAAGTTCTAAACAAATTAAAAATTTTTAATTATAACAATTAAAAATTAGAACTTAAATAAATTAAGTTCTAAACAGTGGCAAGTTTTGATGAATAATCCCTAAGTATGTAACAAGAGCATGTGAAACAAGAACATGTATTTGTGAAATGAAACAAGAGCTAATAAAAAGATAGCTCTTGTTAATAAGAGCTATTAACAAGAACTTAACATGAACTTAAGTTCTTGTTAAAAAGATAGCTCTTGTGAATAGCTCTTGTTAAGTTCTTGTGAAGAGCTATCTTGTTAAAGAGCTATCTTGTTAAAGAGCTCTTGTTAAGTTCTTGTTAAGTTCTTGTTAAGTTCTTGTGAAGAGCTCTTGTGAAGAGCTATCTTATTAAAGAGCTATTAACAAGAACTTAACATGTATTTATTTAACAAGAGCTATTCATCAAAACTTAAGAGCATGTAACATGTGAAATGAAACAAGAGCATGTAATCCCATAGTAATTTAAAAAGATAATATCACATTATTCAAAAGAGAACAAATACTTAGGGATTAAGTTATGAATGCAAAAAAATTTATTAATAACACCATGTTTAAAAATTATAACAAGTTCTAAACAAATTATAAGTTCTAAACAGTGGCAACAAATTCTAACAAGTTCTAAACAAGTTCTAAACAAATTACAAGTTCTTGTGAATGCAAAAAAATTTATTAATAACACCGTGTTTAAAAATTATGACAAGAGCTCTTCTAACACCGTGTTTATTAATAACACCGGGATTAAGTTATGAATGCAAAAAAATTTATTAATAACACCGTGTTTAAAAATTATAACAAGTTCTAAACAAATTATAAGTTCTAAACAGTGGCAACAAATTCTAACAAGTTCTAAACAAGTTCTAAACAAATTACAAGTTCTATCTTCACAAGAGCTCTTCACAAGAGCTCTTGTTAAGTTCTTGTGAAGAGCTTAAAGATAATAGCTCTTTAAAAAGATATCTTTAATAAAAAGATAGCTCTTGTTAATAGCTCTTGTTAAGTTCTTGTTAATAGCTCTTTAACAAGATAGCTCTTGTTAATAAGAGCTAATAAAAAGATAGCTCTTTAACAAGAACATGTTAAGTTCTTGTTAAATAAATACATGTTAAGTTTTTGATGAAACAAGTTTTGATGAATAGCTCTTGTTAATAGCTCTTGTTTAAGTTCTTGTATGTAACAAGAACTTAAATAAATTAAGTTCTAAACAGTGGCAACTTAATCCCTAAGTATTTGTTCTCTTTTGAATAATGTGATATTATCTTTTTAAATTACTATGGGATTACATGCTCTTGTTACATGTAATCAAAACCCAGAAAAAAAAAATACTATGGGATTAAGTTTTGATGAATAGCTCACATGTACATGATTAAAGAGAGGTTGGAAATTATTTACACCTCCCTTACCGGATGTAAAAAAAAAACATTCCATACAATGCAAACACTCCACAAGGTTCCATTGGAATGCCACCTTAAATGAAACCATCATAGCTATATATAATGAAACCATTCTCGCCGAAGCATAGATTCATCAAGTTCTGAGTGGACAGCTAAAAGGTGTTCAACAGACAGGGTTTGGGCCAGGATGGGTTTAATCATGATGGGCCGGGCAAGCCAAGCTTAACCTTGCAACACCAGAGCCAGGTTCAGTCTGGCCCCAAACGCCCAGCCTGACCCTATCTCATCTATTGTTATAAAACCTTTTCAGCTTTAGCAATGTCAAAGGGTTTATAAATTGATGTTTTTTTACAGACCTAATGATGGACTTTTTCCAGCTTAAAAGCATATCCTTTGTTTTACTGCCTACAAGTTAAGATAGTGAAATGAAACAAGAGCATGTAATCAAAACCCAGAAAAAATGAGCCCAAAAAAAATAACAGTAGTAGTGTTTTTGAAGAGTTTTTTTTAATCCCTGTGGTAACTTTTCTGACACCTCTAGCTTCGAATTCCGAAGGTCTAAAGGATCGTTAGGCCACGCTTTCACGGTTCGTATTCGTACTGGAAATCAGAATCAAACAAGCTTTTACCCTTCTGTTCCACACGAGATTTCTGTTCTCGTTGAACTCATCTTAGGACACCTGTGTTATCTTTTCTGACACCTGTGTTTTTGAAGAGTTGTTCAACAAGATTAATAGCTTCAATCTCAAGCAACTTTACGAGGGAGCTTGGTTCAAATTTTGCAAAGTTTCCTGGATGTCACTCAAATGTGTTGTTAGAGTTTTGGTTCAAACACTCCATCTCACCTTTCCCCGATTTCTCTTCTCTCTCAATCATATTATAACAGGCAGTCAGGCACACAGATGCTTGTTAGATTAGGGTGTGCAACCCAAAACTAAATCAACACAATACCCATCAAAACTAACCACAAAAGCATACAGCCCACCAAACTTCAACTATCCAAACCTAACTATCCCACGAAATTTAACAATCATAACTAAAAGTATTCTAGTCTTCAACATTCAATTACAAAATTTACAAAAATTAAGAGATAGAGAGGGCAAAAGATGAATAATGTTGGATAGGAAGGGAGAGAGATTGGAGAAGAGCAACTAAAATTGCTAAGATCAGTGAGATACAGCTATACTCCACACACGACCCGTTAAAGGCCCACCCCAGCCCACGTAGGTGGCCAACTGGACAAGAGCCCTTCCTGTTCTTGAAAAATCATGCTCAACCTGTTTTTAAGTGGCTTGTCATGGGCTACTAGCGGGCCGGACCAGCCCACGTACCAAGCCCGCATGCCTATAAAGTCTAAGTTCAATATACCCCCCTAATATTATAGACGATTAATATACTACATAAAGGTGGGTGTGGGCTGTGCCGGGACAGCTCACGTACCAATCCCGCATGCCTCATGACGCAGTGTGTCGTGCCTACAATGTGACAATAAAAAGGCTTGTGCCAAGTTAAAAAAAAAAACCTTGAGCATAAGGGCACATTTTTCCTCTAAAATATGTGCTAACCTAAGTGCATATTTTTCCTCTAAAATATGTGATAATCCTCCCTACTAAGATGCGTGATGATAAAATATGAAGATAATTTTCCTCTAAAATATCTCATGCTCTGATTTTTCCTCTAAATTATGAAAATTATATTAAAAGAAGAAATAAAAAACATATAATATGAGCCTCAACTGCAAGAGACGCATGAGGCACAAGGCACACTTCGCAATCCATGCACCCCCTATGCCCGCCTCCCTTTGAGCGCAATCAAATGTGCCTCGCACCTGAGGAACACTTTTTAAACTAAGCGATAGACTACATACAAATTAAAAATTATATTATGTCTCAATGGCCTTCTTGTCATTACCCTTTACAGATTTAATCTAGATAATAGAAAGTTCTAACAAAAGAGAAACAATTGAAAATTGATATATTATCAATATCTAACTTATTAGCTCCATATCAATTATTGCAGCTAAATAGAGCCATGGCACATAGTAGTTAACTCGTAATATAAGTGAGATAACAGCATAAATAGTTTGATAATGTCATCCCCACAAAATAATTAAATTTAGTAACTGTCATATCAAAATATCAAACACAAATTATAGCAGTTAATAAACATACCTAAATAGCTATTTGACCATAAATATTGTAGCATGATTCCAAAGGAGAGGATTTGCAAGAGACCAAAGTGAGAAGCACCTGATCACGATCTGATGAGCGCTGGACTCTGAATTGGAGAGAAATAACAACGGTGTGATCTTTAGTAACTCTACTATCAAAATTGGTAAGTTCATGAGAGTAAGTAGTGAAGCACAGCAGGTCATCGCCGAGATGGTGTAAAGAATCAAACACTTGTTTTGAGTAGTCATCAAAATCTGAGGATAAGACAACATTCAACCACCGTTTCCTGCTTAAATCATAAGCCTCAACCAATTGTTTGGATTTGCGGGCATAAATATAGAGAATCCCATCAACGAAAACAATTGGCCCGGCCCAAATTCCATCAAATTTATCAACAAGGCAATCCCAACTAGCATCAGCAGGATAGTATGCATAAATTGAACAGCCGGGTGTAGAGAGGAGAAAATGCACGAGGATACGACCGCGCAAGTGATCAACTACAAGCGGAGGCGATACATCATAACTTGATACCCTTCCATAAAAAGGAGGTGGTTTTGGCAAGGGTTCCCACATATTAAGCTTAGGATCAAAAACCTCACCAAAACAAGACCATTCAGAACCTCTAAACACATATAGCTTACCACAAAGGGCTACACATTTTGGAGTATACTCATCCTCCTTGAAAAGAGGCCCTTTTTGCCAACCCATTTCAGGGTTAGTCAAATCAAAATAAGATAGGCCCTCGTGAACTTCAACTATCTCGTTTTCGAAGCTGTAAAGCTCAGAGTATTCATCTCTGCATAAATTTCTATATTGGGGCTTGCCAACAGTGTAAATTATTGATCCTACCATTAGATTGCTACCTGCTCCACCACTCCATATGAGGGTATAGGGAGTTTTTACGAACTCACCAGTATCTAGATCCAAAATCTGGAATTCACACTTTGCACCGTGCACCACCCGTAATACAACCTTCCTCTTAACCTTTGCGGAATCACCTTTGCAACACTTTTTCAGATATGAATCACCAATTTTCTCTGCCATGACCGTAAATCCAAATTTTTTTATCAGACAAATCCAATTCTCTGTGGTAAAGAGGCATCAACGATTAGTAGAGGCACGGTAGGCGGCTGCCTATCAGAAATAGGCGTTGAAGCTGTGAAACGGTGAGAACCGTGAGATTGGGCTAAAACATCTTTTGACTAGCTATATAGTACCTATTTCTCTGGTCTACATCACTTTCAATTACTTAAATTTATTTTTTAAAAATGCATGTCAAATCTAATCAACATCATAAATTGGACCAGAAGGAGTGTTACAAAAGTGTAGGAAAAATTTAGAAAAAGTATAAATTTTAAGAAAAGGAACAAAAAAATTACCCATTAAAGAGCATTCTGAATATCTAAAAATATTTGAGTGATATTTTGGAACATTTTAGAAAATTAAATGACATTATTGAAAGAAAAATTTGAGAGTGATATTTTGAAAAAAATATAATACTTAAGTGACATTTTTGAATATTTTTGAGACTTCGATGGAATTACTGAAAGAAAATACTCCGTAAAAGACATCGACATTTTTGACAAAAACAAATAATTTAGTGTCATTTTTACTCTTTGATAATCAAATAAATAAATACTCTGTATTACTTTATATATGTTGTATTAAATTACTAATTAAACTTTAAATGACTAAATTAGATATGTATAGTAAGATGTTTTTCGTAAATTATTAGCCTCTCTGTTTCTTAAAACAATTCATATTTACTATTCAAGGCATCACGAAAACTTTTTTTTATTTGTGTTTTTTCTTTAGTAATTTGACAAAATAAAATATTATTATCAACACTTATTTTGTTAATAAAATTGTTTAAAGAAAGATGAGATTTTGCATGTAAAAATGAAATATGAATTGTTTTTATAAATGGAGGGAATATAATTTATTACTCCCCCGTCCTTAAATATATCTCGCATTTCTTTCTAGTTTATTGTAATATCTTCCGGTTTCTTTCAACAACCAATTTTAGAATTCCGACTCATAGTAGTGCACAAATACGAACTGGGTTTATAGGTGACCTGAGGAAACCGGGAAAAGTTGGAAAAAAGATTTGAAGGAACCTTAAAAGTTTATTTATGAATTTGTTTTCTTTGGATCCAAATCATGTTTTTTATTAATTTCCTTGGTTACTGTAATCTTAGTTTATAATTTGAATTTAACTAATAGATTCAATTTTAACCATAGGAGTATAATCAAATTATTAGAGTATATATACTCCATATATAATGGCGTAATTGATAACTACTAGTGCATCACTCGTGTGATGCACGGAAAAGTATAAATCTTCAAATCAAGATGATTACAAATGTTTTAAGTTATTGGTAATTAGTTTTAAATGATATAATATCTTAAAATATAGATAGTAGTAAATTTGATATGTAACTTTGTTCAACATAATAAAATGTAAATGTGATAAATATTATTACATCTTTCATTTAAAATAATACAAACAATAAAAAAGAGAGCTTTTAGAGCATACTACATATATTATATTACCAATGATATGCCAATCAAGGATGTCTTTCGTTTTTTGCTAAATAAACACATAATTTATCAAAAATTGCAAGAAATATATCTTTCAAAATACGATGTGACTTTTACGTCATAAAAATACTCCCTTCGTCTCACAATAGATTCCCTTGTATTTAAATTCACAATAACCTATATATTTATTTATATTTTTTATTGATTATTTGATAAAATAAAATATTATTATGAACATTGTTTTGTAAAACTTTGACGTACTTTTTATACATGTATGTCATACTTTAATTTTTATTTTTTTACCAATTCTTAAATAAAATAAACTAAAAAACATGGAATATTTTTTCATTTTATTAAGAAGACAACGTTCAGTAATCTGTACACTAAAGAGAATGTCAGTCAACTATACATTCGTAAAAGTCACATCGTATTCGAGATATACACTAATAGTCTAATACACCCTAGTTTATGAAATATTTGCACTAAATAGCACTAAAACTTAAGTCATTTTTCTAAATAGCACTTAGATTGTTTTCTTCCCTAAATAACACTTTATAATGTCCATAATGACCAGTGATGGCAAACATTTACTTGAATAATGACTAATGTATAATGGCTAAAAGTGCTACATTGAGAAAAAAACATATGTAGTGCTATTTAGGGAAAGTCATTATGTTTTAGTGCTATTTAGGTAAATTCCTCCCCTAGTTATTTGCATTCGTTGGATTAAATACACAAGATTCTCACAAACAAACCCCCAATCTTATTCTAATTTAAAATAACTTTAATCTTATTGTTTTTCTCTCAAGACTCCAGAGTTCTGCATGTCACCTCATCTATCGTCTTCACTTCTTTAGCCAATCTTCCAGACTCTAGAGTTCCATCTTATGTGTGTTTTGTTGGCATGCATGTGTACTATTTTGTTTCTTTTACATATTATTTTTGAAAGGTTAGAATATTTTATTCGAATATGAGACTCTGTTTGTTCTAATTTTAGGAAATGTTGCTTCCAAGATCCGTAGCAATTTAAGAAACATTTTGGATGTGTTATGATGAATTTGTCCATTTATATTACACGTAGTTTATAAAAAATAACTATGTTTAGAAAATGTCTTTAAAAAAATCTTGTACTATTTTTGAATTCAAATACATCGAATATATTATCAAATTGAATATGAATATTTTTGAAAATTCAAATTATGAATGAGTGCAAATTTGAATAGATATTATTTTAACTGAATACAAATCAAATATCTAGATATTTGATTCGATTCAATTTGTACACACCCTTAAATGGAACACGCATAAACTTGGTTCAAAATAAGATTCGACATCGACACGGAGTGATGTGGAATTTTGTTGTATATGATGAGTGCCTGAGCTCCAAATTGGGACAGACTTTGTAAGATTAGTTCCATATGTTTAAAGGTGTTACACTTATCCAACAAGAAAACAAAAATTAGTCTCATCAAGAAAACACTACAAAACTTGTTTGCTAGTGGGTTTTGCAAAAAAAAAATTATCAACACCACATAGTTATCTTCATTGCCACATCGTTGTGAGTCAACACCAGCATACAATTTAAATAGTTTATAGTCAATACCTTATATACACCCAAGAAGAATTGTATACAAACAACAACAGCATTACCCCAGTGCCTCAACGGCTCCCGCCCATTGCGGGGTAAGGAGGGATCGGAAGAGCGGATGTTTCCAGAGTAATGCAAGATTGCAAGGGTAGTAAAACAACCATTTGTAGGTCTAACCCATTGTATAACAAAATATAATTACAAGTTTGACCCATTGTATTCAAATATAATAAAAAGTTTCCCCAAAGTAATGCAAGATTGCAAGGGTAGTAAAGGAGAAAACAAAAGGAACAACATAATTAAGTCATTACATGTAGCTAACTTAAACTAGACACAATTTGTAGGTCATGAACAAAGGTAAATTCATAATTTGCTCTCAAAATATCTGAAAATGTGTAAAAATAAGCATGATCAATTTAAATCCTATATTAGGAAATGATTAATGCTTTATTCTTACTTATTGCAAATTTTTCTTTTTTATTGGGTTTGGCCCATAAGTATTTCTCGGGGTCTGCAGTATGTATTTGTTTATGTTGTATAAAAAATACAGATTACTATTTGCAACTCGGCGTTTGGTTTGGGGGTATGATTCTCGCTTTGGGTGTGAGAGATCCCAAATTCAAATCTTAAAACACCCCATTTAAATCAATATTTTTTTCACAATTAGTTAATTTAGGTGTGAAGTAGGAGCATTTGCATTGGATGGATCCGAATAGTGTTTTTTCTTAATTTTCTTGGTTATTGTGATCTTATTAGTTTATGATTTGATTGTAAGTAATAGATTTTCTTTTTATAATACTTTAATCATATAACTATATTGTATAAATAAGAACTAATTATACAATGGAAGATTAATATATTTATTTGTTGTCATATAAAGAAAAAACTAAAACACTAAACAATTTTTTAATAGTTCAATTATTATTTACTAATGAATATATTATAAACAGATACTGATTGAAATGAGTATATTTTAGAAGTCAAACGACTTTTACCTGTTGGCTATATAATTGCTCACTTTTGACACTTTTGTATTGATTTTGACTCAACATTTATTCTCTCCCAACAAAGACATGATTTTCGTTCATTTTAGAAATTATGAACAAACACAAATAAAAATAAATGAGAATTTGCATTGGTTGATCCAAAACTAAATAATACATAGTAACTCATTAAATATGAAGTGGATAAATACACACAATATGAACTTATTATCACTTAGTAAGAGTAAGAAGTCATAAAACATGTTATTACCTCTTTTTAACTCTTTCTAATTCTACCTCATCTCTTACTTCCCTTACCAACGTAAGTCTCATATCTCCTCACTGAAGCATCCGCATTCTGCTGTCTTACATGACGGAACCACTTCAAACTAATTTCCTGAAGTTTATCTTCCATTGGTGTCTTGGCTAAGAGACATCAAATAACTTCGTTGGGGATCCTGTCCAGCCTCGTGTGCCCACACATCCACGACAACATTTACATCTCCACTACGTGCAGACAATGCACATGGATCTTCTGAACCGCCTAAAACTCTATCACATACTCCCTCCGTCCCCAATTTGATTACAAATTGCGGGTTACGAAGTAAAATTTCCTACTTTTTGAAATCATGTTATTTACAAATTGGTATATCAATAAGCTATAAAAAATACATATTAAAAAACTACGTCAAAAGTTCTACAAAACAAGAGATGACAAGAATATTTTATTTCATCAAATACTTGATGAAATCACGTTAACAAACCAAAGTTATCGAGAGGAGAGAGAAAAAAAGATTGTAATCTATTTAGGGACGGAGGGAGTATATAGCATAGTTGGTTTGACTAGCGATAGATATAACCTACCTTTCACCTTGGGCAAAATCATCTTCTTATCACATATGTCTGTGCTTGCGTGCATGTGTGTGTGGAACTTGGAAGATAGGGAGCTGCCAACAACTTTTTCACAAGGGGGTAATTCGTTATTGGATCTTTTTGTTTTAAAAAATACAGAGTAACTATTATTTGATTCAATAAGTTTACACCCTTTTAAAGAGATCCATAAGAGTGATAGATTTGATAGGGTAGGTGAATGAACCTAGGCTAGACTAGAAGGATGAATCGAGGTCAGAGTAGGACTGGGGCTAAAGTGACTCTGAATCAGTTCAGGAGTCGTCTATCTTCACAACTAGAAATGCGCTCCAAAGGGCTCCATGGAATCTAAAATTTTTTGATGTTAAACTCATTCACATTGTGTTCTTCTGTGCATTGAATGGTGTCTCGTGCCAAGTGAAAGAAAAGCTCTACTTGCCAAATGATCTAAACAATACGGTCTACCTATGCGATATTCTGTAAGTTTTTAGGTTATATCGCAATTACTCAATTGAAACCCCACATACACCTTATTACTATATTAGGTACGCTTTACTTTCTCTCTTCTATATGAGAGAATTATCTTGCAGGGTGGAAGATAGTTTTCTCTTCTATTTGGAGCTTTTAACCTTTACGCTAATTATGCATTCAATGGCAGTCTTCTTTCGAGTTGTAGACACCTGCAGTGAGAAATGGGATTGGTTAGCTTGGTCTTGATAGTTGTATTAGGTGCTACAATCACTCACAATAATGATGAGTGCGATTGGACCAATCATCAGCATCTTGGTCAACGATCGCCACAGGATTTTTAGTCCAACCAATGACCAATGCATGATATGACCAACAAACAATCGTCGTGAGTCAACACCGTCATACAGTTTAAATAGTTCATAGCCAATGTCTTATAATCACCCAATTAGAAACCATTGTATACAAATATAAAAAAAGTTTCCCCAAAGTAATGAAAGATTGCAAGGGTAGTAAAGGAGAAAACAAAAGGAACAACATAATTAAGTTACTACATGCCCTATAGCTTATAATAACAGTTTAGAATCTCTCACTTAAAAGAAAGATGAGGCTATCAAAGACAAGGACATTATGGGAAATATCTAGTAGACTTACTTAAGAATCTTCTGCTACAAACCTTAAAAGCTGCTACCTTGACTCCTTGACGCACATTCCATCTGCAATTTGTGATATCAAAAGCAACATTAGTTGGAAAAAGAAAACATCCTTTATTTTATTTTTAACTTCTTTTACGCAATGGAATGGAATAGACTATAACATTGAAGCAAAAAAAAGGAATAACAACATAATTTAGCTACTTCGTGCACCCTTCCCACTTGAACTCGATCCACCTTGATAACAACACACAATTGGAAAAACTTTCAGACCTTCAAATTTCCTCAAGCATCCATTGTCGGTAAATTTCCCAAAGACTCTAACCTTTGTAGGAAAAAAATAATAGGAAGAACAAATCAAATGCAGAATAAAATTCTGATTTTTTTATTGTGAATTACATACAGAAATTCTATGTTCCTGGAGTATTTATAGACAGCAACCAAAACAACTATTGGTACTAATCAACACATCTATTACTAACTAATACTCCGGGTACAACTTCTAGAAATAACTACCTATAACTTCTAGAAATAACTACCCATAATTGCCCCTTTTCTTTTTAAAATTTAAATAACAACAACCCAGTTGAATCCCACTACAGTAGGGTCTGGCTTTTTAAAATTAAATCTAAACTAAATAACTTCTAACCACGAATTAAACAATACGATTAAATCTAACAACCTTGTTTCCCTGTATTTATCAGGATAGACACATCTGTGTAACTCTTGAGATGAGTAACACCATAAGACAGGCCCATGTAAGGCCATTTTAGATATCCTAAGGAAATTGGCAGGAGAGTTGAGCTAACCAATCAAAAGTGCCCACAGCAACATCAGAGGCATCCCCTACTAATTCTCACATTTTCCCTTTTCTCCATGATCCCACTGTTTTTTTAGGTCATGGAGAAAATTTGAGTTCAGAGTCTCTCCTTTAACAAACACCTGTTTTTGATGCATAGATCACATGACTAAAGAGAGGTTGGAAACAATTCACACCTCCCTTAACGAATGTAAAAAAACATTCCATACAATCCAAATACTCTGTAAGGGACCATTGAGAACAGGAATGCCACTTTAAATGAAACCATCCTAGCTATCCACATATAAAATGAAATCATTCTCGCCGAAGCATAGATTCATCAAGTTCTGAGTGGACAGCTAAAAGGTGTTGCAAATACCTGTTCAACAGACAGGGTTTGGGCCAGGATGGGTTTGATCATGATGGGCTGTGCGAGCCAGGATTAACCTTGCAACACTATTGCCAGGTTCAGTCTGCGGTCTGCCCCAAACGCCAAGCCTGACCCTATCTAATATATTGCTATAAAACCTGTTCAGCTTTAGCAATTTCAAAGGGTTAATATATTGATGTTTTTTACAGACCCAATGAAGGATTTTTTCCAGCTTAAAAGCATCCTTTATTTTACTATCTACAAGTCAAAATTTTGAAATGAAACAAGAGCAAGTAATCAAAACCCACAAAAAATGAGCCCAAAAAAATATCAGTAGCAGTGTTTGTGAAGAGTTGTTGAACAAGATTAATAGCTTCCATCTCAGGCAACTTTATGAAGGTGCTTGGTTCAAAATTTGCAAAATTTCATGGATGTCACTCAAATGTGTTGTTAGAGTTTTGGTTCAAACACTTCATCTCACCTTTCCCCATTTCTCTTTTCTCTCTCAATCATATTATAACAGATACAGATGCTTGTCAGATTAGGGTGTGCAACCCAGAACTAAATCAACACATTACCCATCAAAACTAACCACAAAGGCATACAGCCCACAAAATTACAGCTATACAAACCTAACTATGCCACAAAAATTAACAACCATAACTAAGTATTCAAGTCTTCAACATTCAATTGCAAAATTAAAAAAAATTAAGAGATAGAGATAGCAAAAGACGAATAATGTTTGAATAGGAAGGGAGAGAGATTGGAGAAGAGCAACTAAAATTGCTAAGATCAGTAAGATATAGTTATACTCTATACGCGACCCGTTAAAGACCCATCCTGGCCCACATAGATGGCCAACTGGAAAAGAGCCAGTGCTGTTCTTGAAAAAAACACGCTCAACCTGTTTTTAATTGGCTGGTCATGGGCTATTAGCAGGCCCCAGCCCATTGAATGAGTATATTGTTGTGTATCTTAATCCACCATTCTAGATCAAACTGACAATGTAAAGAAATGTTTTCAGTCAATTAGTGATTACCTCATGACCATTACTATGTGTGATGCATCACATCCATTATCCCAACTCATCGCAGGCTTTAGTAATTACAAATGAGATCTATTAAAATTCAACGTGTATACTGCTTAGACCCAACACAACCTTGAATTCTCTAAGCCTATGCTAGAAGGAGGTACAAGAAGAAATCTAGCAAAGGCACTAAAGCAATTGCAAATCTCAACCCTGAGATAGATAGATTTGGTACTATAAGAAAAGGGTGGTAAGAAGTTACTGAAATTAGTAGTAAATAGTGGAGTAATGAAAAGCAAATCATTCAAGAAACTACTGGGTAGGAATCCATTGAGGAGACTCTAGACATCTAGAAAGACTAGTACTCCGTATTATATTTTAGGTTCTAATTATTCAACACAATCTATACATAGTGATTGATAAATATGTATATTTTCATCTTCATTCTATTAATACTCTTAAAGAGGGTCAATTCATAGCAAATATATTGTAATTGCCTACCTTTTTTTTTCTTTTTACTTGACATAGTAAACTTTTTGTCGTCTCTCTTGATTTCACCTTTGAGAAAACTTGGGTCGATCCTGGCTACACGCTTATCTTCCTCCCTAACCTTTCTTCTTTCTTCGTTCTTCTCCATACTGTTTAACAAACTGCGATATCTAGTTTTCTCTTCTCGTGTAGGACACAACTTCATAGCTTGCAAATAGTGCTTGCATGCTTCATCATAGTTACCCTTTGATGCATAGCTAGAGCTGTTAATGATAAATACGGTAATTAGTTAAGAAATTAGATGAAAAATTAAATGAAATTACTAGAAAGATGAACTCGATAGAATGAGCGACATTAATACCCCAAAATCTCACAGCTGAAATATGACAAAACACCACCAGATCCAAGATAAGCTTGCGCTTCTTTAATTGCCTCTAACCACATACAAAATTAAAATATTTGTAGACAGAATTCCAGACATAAGAATGATATACAAAAGAATGTTGAAAACAAAAAAGTATGAACTCACTCTTCTTTTGATCTAACTTCATAAGGCATTTAAGCTTACAATCAAAAATCTCTACATTTGAAAAGACAACATCTTGATCGATTTTGTTTATATAGTCCAAACACTCTTCGTATTTCTCTTCACATAACTTCCTTTTTGTTTGTTTTTCGAGTTCTGTAGCTAATCGTGACAGTATAACACTTTGCTTGGACGGAAATTGTCTGAAGTAGAAATAGGCTTCTATATAATCAGCTTCTTCTAGATATCCATTCCTACAAGATAAATCATAGATTATGTGAATATGTAATGTTTTATAGAGTAGGAAGAATCAATAAAAAGTTGAGATCAAAAGATACCCCAATGCAACGCAAACAGTATGAGTCAAAGGACGGTAATCAGCACGATAAGCTTTGGCTTCCATAAAAGCATCTAATCACATATTCGATAAACTACAACATTAATACAACTGGCTATGAAACACACAAGGAAATGTGAACCGAAAGAAAATATAATCAAACTCACCCATCTTTCTATCAAGTTCATAAAGGCAATTCAACTTAGTGTCAAACAGATATGTATTATTTAAGACAACATGTTGATCGATTTTGGTCTCGATATAGTCCAAACAATCTTTGAATCTATCTTTTTCCATCATCATTTCAACAGCATTTTCAAATTCTTCTTCTCCAACTTCAGAAATATCAGTCATCTTTGGCAATTAAGAAGTTCCTCACAACCTACTAGGAATGAACAACAAGTGAAAGTTTAGGAGCAACCAATGATTTCAAACACTAATAGTTAAGAGGCTTTTAGTAGTATAACTATGGAGAGAGATCATATTAGATCCAATTGAAGAGATGGGAAAATAATACATAAACATCGAAATTGAAGAAGCCAAACCTAACATAATACAATTATTATCAAGCATACATAAATGATAGCCAAACAAAAAACATTCCCATTGGTATATATTTTGAGAGCTATGCCCCCAAATTTAGAGAAGACCCCTGATAAACACTAATACTAAGCTGAGTTAAGGCGTATAAATATTCAAAATATACTTTCATGAGAAGAGTATTTGTAGCAGCAATGGCAACTACAAATTGGCTATGGAAAAACAAAATAAGGGATTCTGGTCTAAAAAATCCATGCATACTGATTGAACTGTACAACACAGCATACTGTAGATACAATAAATGTATACATTTATTGTTATTTTGGATTTTGACCACGATGAGGCCAGTGGGTCTTACTTTGTATATCAGGTTGTTTGCAGCCTATGAATATGCAGGGTTTGTGAACCTATCCTTAAAGATTTAACCTCCAAGTCAATGCATAACCCTTGTACTAGTTCTTTTTTTTGTGAGAACATATTTTTACTTGCAAAAAAATATTGGTGGTGGTGATGATTCAAGCATATTTAAATTCTTTAGCACAAACACATATTTTCTCGTAAAACAAGCCCATTGAGGACAATAACTTAAAGGCCTATCTATACATGCATCATGCATGCCACATGGAAACACATTATAATTATCATCATCATCATTATTTGCAAGCATGTATTGTACTAGTTCAATACATAAAGTGCTCATTTATATTGTGTACTACATTCACCCCTAGTTCATTTATATGCGTAAAGGGCTCACCAGATGGGCTAAATGGACAAATCTGATTGTCTTTGCAGAAACCATGATAAATGGGGGTGTTGTTCTGTGTTTCGCATATTCTATTTTGATATTGATCTTATGGAAATTGCACACTTGTGCAACAAAAAGCTGGAAATATGGGCTGGAAATATCATGCTCATTCGGGTGCACACTAACAAAAAGCTGGAATATGGGCTGGAAATCTCATGCTCATTCGGGTGCACACTAAGGATTGTGGTTAGGAGAGAGGAAAGACCAAATATGAATTTGTTTTGAAATAATCATCACCTTTGTATTAATAAAGATGTGAAATTTTGTTTTCTAAATTTGAAGCTTGGTTAGCTTTTATTCACTATTGAGCATACATTTAATGTCTTAATGTCACGATAATGCAACCATGTAGACAAAAAAAACTTCCAGAAAAAAACTCTGAAAATTGACAATCCAGAAATAGAACAAATAGAAAAAATTAGTGATTGGGGATTAACTAACTGATACCCCAAATCAGTGGCGGGTTGGCGGCGACGAGGACTCTGAGGCGGCTCTGCGACTAGGAACTGATAAGGCAAGCCAAGGGCGATTGAGTTTTGGAGTTCCGCTCGTAAGTCGGAACCGGCACTGGAGAGCGCAGGCGGAAGCCAAAGATGCAATGGCCGATGGGCGAAATGCAACGAAGCAATCAGTCCGTTTAAAGCAAAAATTATACCACATTTATACACATTTATACACTATCGTTATACACAAACATTTTGATGGTTTATACTTACACAAATGTTGGTATGTTAACAAAAATTTACACGAACACAAAGTGTTGGTGCGTTAAGAAAAATTAGTTTTACACCGACACAAAATGTTGATGCAAACTTGAGAGGTACAAAGTGGGGTACAAAAGGTTGGGGTACAAGTAGTCTTATCCTTATTTGTTAGATAGCAAAAAATGACTACACCACTACGGGAGACCCGACCCCAAAATACCCCGTTTTGAATAAAGATTTTGCTGATTGAACCCGAATTCGACTGAACCCGAAATGATCCGCTAAAAATAAGTCAAATCCAATCTGACCGACCGCTAATCTAAAAAATTTCCAGAAATCATACATTTTAATATGAAATATAGTGTTATAAAAATTAGATTATAATTATACGTAGTATTTCTTTGATTACTACTCATTTTTTGTGTATAGATTTATACTATCGTAACAAATTTTAATGATGTCGCATAATTATCTTGCATTTTTCAAAATTTTTACATAATTAATTTTTTAATTCATAATATTGACACTAAATCATACGGAGTAAAAACTACTTAAAATTTCAAAAAAAAAATGAAACTCATAACCCGTTGGGTCAACCCGAATCCAAACCTAAAATAACCGAATTCAAATCCGACCGATTTCCTAGGTCTAGATAGGATTAGATGAGATAGATCTAATTTGAAAGATCAATCAAATCACATCAGATCAGATCAAATATTTATTACAGAGTATAATTTAAAAAATTATTATTTTTATTGTTATATTATCATTATTATTATTATAATTCAACTACAAACTATTATTTATCGTAATTAGTTAGCTTGTAGGAATGGTGCATGGAAGAATTATAATAGAATTATGCAAAACTTAGTTTTTAAAATCATAAATACTTTTATACTTAAAAAGACTCACTTTTAAATTTTAAAATGGTATAATGTATACAAATGTGAGTTTATGACAAAATTCATAAAGGTGAAAGGAATATTAGTATTTAAGATATTATATGATAATTGTTGATGGCAATATACCACCAAGTATATCGACCGTGAGGTTGGGGAGCTACATAAAGTAAGAAAATAAAGATTGAGAGAGACGAAATGCATAGTAAGAGTGTTATTAGCTTAGAATAGGATCTTTTAAAATGAGAATGCCTTAGCCTATTTATAGGTTCAACAATACTACAAAGTCAACCTCTGTGGTTTATACTTTTGTAGAGAAAATAGGGGTGCTGGAGAGAAGATACGTCGTTTTACTCCATGATCTTTTTTTAAACAAAAGAAAAAACTACCTCCAAAGTTGAACACAGGCTTCGGGAGTGGGAATGATACACACGCTTCCACTTAACCAAACGCATTTCTGTTCACATGGAGCTACACATTTTTTATATATTAATAGTTTTACAAATCTAATACCCATATAGACCCACACCGGGGTCTGAGGGGTCTCGGGACTCCATAGGACTCAAGGTGGGTCTGCCTCTTATTGAGACCAATTAAGGTTGGTTCTTCTTCGGGGGTTCATGACATCCCCCAGCCACACTAACTCCCAAATGCATATCATTTGAGAGTATAATGAAAAGATTATTAATTTTAGGAGGGTCAGAAATTGATTCATCATTACCCATCTAAAACCATTTTGAAATGAATAAACAAAATTGATCTGAACCAAAACCAAATTGGTGAGTATACTGGTCCAATTCACACCAGCACCAAATTGGTGAGTATACTGGTCCAATTCACACCAGCACATATAAATACCTATATGTAAAACCAAATTCAACTAAATAAACAAAATTTTGACCGCTGAAAACCAAATGAAACAACCAATTGTACCTTTCATTTAATAAGCAAAAAATCTAACCAAACAATACAATTAAATGCCTTAGGGTCACCCCCTAATTGAAGAGAAAACAGGAAAATGCATGGGGGAAGGAGGTAGAATAGAAAACACACCCTATCTTTGACTTGTGATAATTTTAAACTTGAAAATCAGTATGAGCCAAACTCTTGGCATCTCAGAAGGAAGAGAGTCTTAGTATAAAAACGAGACAGGGGACTGTGCATTGTTTATGGGTTTCATCCACAGTGTGCACTAGCCAACAAATTTTTTAAATTAAGAACCCCTTACCCAACCCACTACTTTGCCAGCTCTATAACTAGCCCAACCAAACAAAACATAACTGACCCAACCAAGCCCTAAAAACTAGATCAAAGAGGAAAAAACAATTCATTTTCAACTAAAGATAAAATCAAAAACCCACATCCTCCACAATTCACAAAGTACTACTCATTCACACTGAGTGCCAACATACTTACCATTAAATCTGTGAATGAAATTAAGGCTTAAAGAGTTGAACCCACTCCAAAAAAAAACTGGGGCTCAAGCACCAATCAAAGTAAGTCTACGCTAATTCCTCTTACGCTTCTTGCCCTTCGCTTCAGGCTTCAACTCCTCATCTAGGTAAAGAGTCCACTGCTTCAACGGTGAATAGGAAAACCAAACTATTAACAAGAAGAAACACCGAGTCAGAACAAACACTATTTTTTAGCTAAAATAGATACAGATTTAAATCTTACCTTTGAAATAGGGGGAAAGGCGCTCCTGATAACAGCTTCTCGCTGCTTGCTCCATCACCTTTAAAGCGGAGTCCAGAGATTGTCCTCCGTTCAAGGACCTGGAATCAAAGTTGAAATCGCTTCATTAAACAGACACACCATTAACAAACAAAAAAAACCATGAAACCTAAGCAAGTAATGTTACCAATCCTCTAATATCCTTCGGGCATCCGAGGAGACACCTGCCCCAATCGCAACAACGCTTGGGTCAAGACATCCATCCGGCATGCTGAAGAGATACGGAGTCCACTTCTCCCGGTAATCATCTCCTTCATATCCATCAAAACTCCACCCTCCTAACACGGCTTTTATTTTGTCACCAAATACAAACTGTGTGCTTAGATATGCACAACGATCAATAAGTTCGGCCCGTGGAATAACACCAGATACACGTTCAGCATGCTGAACCTATTTTTATCAGAAATAAACATGCAAAACGTATTACTAGTAGAAATAGGTTTTCATAAACAAACAACACAATTAATACATTGTAAACAAAATACCTGCTTTGAAAGCTCTTCAAAACACCTAGATTCTAGGATAAAGTCCGAGCACATAAGCATGGAAGTGTTATTGAGAGACACGAACTTGTTATCTTTATCCGTGACTACAAAATCCCAGTAAAAAAATAATCAGAGGAATAACATTGAAATAAAAGTGAACCCATTACAAAAAAACAAAAACAGATAACAGTGAAAGGCATTACAAAAATAAAAGTGAAGAAAGAGCATTACAATAACATTAAAAACCATTACAAAAATAACTTGATGTCATGATCAGAGAAATAACAGCGTTTATTAAAAATAAAGAATAAAAAACAGAAAACACACCCATCTGCCTTTGTTTATTATAGTGGAGATGCTTCACATTGCAGGCCATAACTATGTAAGAAGCTCCCTCTTTTTCTTGGCCGACAAGGCCAAGAACAAACCCCTGTGCAAAATTTTAAATAAAAGAAGTTTGCATGAGTAATATAAAAAAGTACAGTATATAAAGAAAAAGTTTGCAAGGGTTGGGACCCGAAATAAAAAGTTCGGGTCCTCGATCGGACCCTCAGGGTAAACTAGGATCCCTTACATCCTTGAACTGTCCCACCCGTTGCGTCTCCCAAAACTTGTGCAGTGGGTTAATAGGGTTTGTGTTCTGGATCTGCTGGACTATGTTTTCAAGAGTGGTTGCATTGTCAGAAATCTGGGTCTCGTTTGATTTCTCATTCTTGGATTCAGAACCAGTTTCCTTATCAGCCATTTCTATCCAACAGAGATCTAACCAGAGAAGAAAAAAATGTGAAATTTCATCGAAATCTCTAAACTATAAAACTGAAATTACTTTATACATAATCAGAGGAACAAGTAAGGAAGGAAGAACTAAACTGATTCACATTCATGCAATAAAAGCATATGATGAAATTATAATCTCGGTTCGGGGAAAAGAAACAATGGGAAGAATCAAAAATTACTTCTACAGATCGTAAATACGCAAAGATTAATAGAAAGATACTCACACGATCAGGTCTGCAATTAGAGAGTTTTGAGTGCCGGCTGAAGGATGAACTCTGAGAGTGCCGTGTAAAATTTACCCGGAAAGAAAATTAGGGTTTTATTTGTTGCATTTTGGTCATTCCACGGTTTCCACTTTCCACGTCTTTTTTTATTTTTGTTTTTTGACTTACTCCGTATTATTTTTGGTGAAAGTATGCTTTTCAAGAAATAATACTGAAGTAAATACTCAATGTTTGTGATGGATGAACAACACTGATGATTAATGTCAAACTTAATGGATTTTTAACTTTTTTATTTTCAAAATCATTATGACTTTTATGGGGTAAATTTCAGTAATGGTATTCAAACTTTCATTAGAATTTTGAAGTGGTATCTGAACTTCAAGTCCTTTCACAAAAGTACCCGAACTTACATGATCTTTTCAGGATAAATGTCACCAAATGGGAAGTTAGAATTTCGAAGTGGTGCCTAAACTTCAAATCCTTTCACAAAAATCCTTGAACTTAAATAATTCTTTCACTAAAAGTCCATTTGCCCGTTTCCAGGTTAACTTGCGGTCATTTGAGCCAAATTAGAATTTTATATAATTTAAAATTTTCAATTTCACTCCATTTCTTTTTTTCTTTTCTTTTGCTCCCCGCCGTTGTCGCACCACGTCAAAGTCGCTGGAAACTAAATTTGGTCAGATTCCAGCGGGACCAACGCTGTTCCCTTCATCTTGGGATGAGAATTAGTAAGATTCCTTACTCTATAAATTCGAGAAATTGAATCACATACCAAATATATTCTCTTCCTTCCCCCAAACGAGATCAACCATAGTGTTAAAAATCAAACATGTCACTATCATGAAGGTATCGTGATATACTTCAAAAATCAAAGAAAGAATATTGTTGACCAATTTCGTACAAACGAGATCTGTGAATAAACAAAGTTATGTGCAAATATGTCGAGTACACTCTAAAATATGATGCAAAGGAAATTTATTTATTGACATTGACTTCCAACGCGAATTTGTAAAAAGATTGATGAATACCTTTGTTAAACTTCGAAGATAGAACGAGTGATGACATTAACAGTTTGAGAATACTATCCAATAGGAATAACAACGTAATCATAATAAATGAACATGACACAGTTATAAATGAGAATACAACAAAATATGCTTTAAAAGTTACTCCCTCCGTCCGGAAATATTCTTTCCATTTTCTTTTTTGGTCTGTCCGAAAATATTCTTCCCATTTCCTTTTTTAGTATACTTTTTAAGGATAAATTTCAATAATACCCTTCTATTTTATCACTAGTCTACCTTTTTTGTACTTTTTTAATAAGAAAAGGATATTTAAAAGTTTATAGTATGTGTATTTTTGAAAATTTTGCTTTTTTTACTATTCCTTAATATGTGTGCCAAGTCAACACGGGAAAAATATTTCCGGACGGAGGGAGTCTTCTATAATAAAAGTAGTTTAGAAACAATATTTTGACCCAACAAAACATTATTTTTATGTTCGACCAAAAATGTAAGAATTTTTGGAGTCAATGATTTTTGTTTATATTGACTTTTATGAATAGATTCCAAAGAGACAAACCCAATGATATATTTTGTAAACAAATCTAATGTACAGATTTTGAGTAGTGACATTTTAAATATGTAATTTGCATAAAAATGAGAAGTGGTCAAAGATGTGAACTTTTGTAAAATGATACTCCATACATTGAAATAAATTATTTAAATTGAACAATATTGATTGAATATGAGAGTACTTTTAACTATCTCAATTAATTGAATTTTGACTTTGTCAAAGTCAACATCTAAAAATATGATGCCAGAAAAAGTATTTCAAAAAAATATAAAAATTATATTATTGTGTAGAGTTTGAATGTCTGATTGCAACGCTGCAATCAAATTTCAATTTGAAGAAAGTTGGACCAAAAATGGTACCCGATTGAGACCATTTTAGTCCCAATCTCGATAAATGTGTGAAATTTCTAAAGACAAGCCGCCAGCCCGCCACACCCAACCGAATGAAAATCACCCCAAATCAAGGGATGACCAAAGAAAATCACTCAAAATGGAGTCATCAAACTCCATACAATTTTCCTTCTTCACCTATAAATGGAGCATCATATTTCCTTCAATTTTCCACCAAAATTCTTCATTCTTCTTCCTATAGTTTCATTAGAGTATAGGGAATAAACCGCTTTAGTTCGCCACCGTCAAAGTTGTTGGAGGTAGCCACGGTTCTTGCCGGAAGTTACCCCGAAAAGTTAATTGAAGAAAACATCCCCTGTGCAAATCAACCTACTTGTGAGCATTTTTACACCCTCTAAACGTCTTTATTTTAATCTGGTTTCTAAACAAAAGTTGTAGCCTTATGTCTTACAAATCCGTAGCTTCAAACGGTTCGCGATTTCGTTGAGTAACAAAGGAGATATGGCCCGAAAACCGGGGCTGGTACAGTGGTGACGGGAAATGACGGGTTTTGTGATTTCCGTTATTTTCGCTCCCGTTTGTTCATTGAGCTTCATATCGTCGATTTCCAGGTCTGTACCATGATCTTAAACAACTTTAGAAGGCATTGGAATGATCCTTGAACTTATTGATTCATATATATTTGAAAATATAAATATTTTGATATTCATAATCACCAAAATCGTTTTGTTGTTAAAGCTTCAAATAAATTGTTTGTGAGTAATCTATATATGTTAGAAAACATTTTTATGAAGTTAGTTTGAACCTTAGAAGCTTTTATGGTGTTTTAAGAAATTGGATCGAAGGTTGAAGATGATGAATAGCAACTTTGTTTTTCCTACGAACGACCGTGCGGATCCAACAGTCAACCGTTACGAACATTTTAAGTCCAAGAATGCTATGTTTAAAGCTATAAAATCCTATCCTTTTTATGATCATTACAAAGATGATTTTTCATAATAAAATGATGTTTTTGAAAAATAAAATCTTGTGTGATGCATGACAGTAAGCTATGGTGTTAACAACCGAAGCTAGGCAGTTAATTGTTATTGAATATTATGTTGATTATTAAAAATTAATGATTATGATAATGATTGTTGATTGATGATTATGATGATTAAACCTTGATAAATATTCTGATTAAAAATGATAAATATGAATGATTAAATCATAATGAATATATTGATGATTGTGAAAATAATATGTATTATTTCGGGTATGTAGAATAATTCTAAGATACTCCGTATATCCACATTAATGTTATTTATAAGATATACCATAGTCATGTTAATTTTGAAGGGTATCTAGAAGACCTCTAAGATATACCCATTTAAGTTAGGCCTTGCGGGTATGATGTCCGGTGGCCAGGGTTAAAACGTACGTACGGGATCCAAGAACCAAACTTGAGTACCTACTCGTTTGGGGGGTACCACCCAACCCAACAGTGAACACTACACTGTCGGTTTTCTGGTTGACCTTAAGCGAAGGTAAGTTTAAGATCCTAAAAACCTTTTTGAAATTCTGTATCTTAAATTAGGCCTAGCTTAAGGGTTTCTTAGGAATATCCTAAACTAGAATTAAATTGGCCTTAGACTAAGAATAGTTTAAAAGCATTGTTATTATTTGAACTTAGCTTAGAATAAGTTAAGAGCAACTAGTATCACATCCGTGCGTTGCACGGGTCATTTTTATGTTAGTAAATTCAGATCATTTTTCAATGATAAAAAATGAGATGCAATAGAATATACTGATTATATTATTTTAAGGTACAGAACATCAATGTTTTACAAAATTCTAAAGACTTCTTTATAGACTACATTTTTTGTAGTCTTTGTGGAGTATTGTCTTCATCGCATATTAGAATTTTCAATCCACTACGATTAGTTACTTTTGAAACTGCAACATAGAGTTGTCCATGGCTAAAACATTAATTTATAAAATAATGTAGATCTAATCTCTGAGTCGTGGAAAACAATATCTAATGATTCCAGCCCTCGAGAATGAGTAGGAACGTGGTAATCTCTAACCGCTCTTAACCTCATCATCAATAATCCGGAACTTTCGTCAACATTTTTAAGGCGGTAATCATCCCCATGTTCGTACAAAAACGATGGTGGAGCACCGATCAATTAAAACACTTGTTTAATTTAAACACTCGTTGATTATCTTATTTATCTCGCCCGGTTAGGCAGCGTATTTATACTATATGAAATTATGAATTTCGGTATTCCTTTATTATTAATTGGTAATAATTAATTACCAATTTAAATTACTTACTTTTTTAATAATTTCCAATATAAATTAATCACGTTAGTATTATTATTATATCTTTATATTCTCGTTTGAAAAATTTACATAAATGGGAATGAGTCAAAACCGTGTAACATTAATGACCCGTGTAAAAGAATTATTATTACTTTAAATTACTTACCATTGTAATTGTTTCCCATAATTAAGTTGGCCATTTTAACGTTATTTTTTTACGGTACATTATTATTTAATTTAATTATTTATTGTAATTGACTCATTACCATTTTAAGTGAACAATTACCATTTTTTTTGCAATACCAAATGGGCGGGATTAATAAAAGTAAGTATACAATAAAGGCAAGTAGGTTAATAATTAATTACCAATTTAAATTACTCACCTTTTTAATCATTTCCAATTTAAATTAATCACGTTTAGAAAGTTTTCCATAAATGGGAATGAGTCAAAATCGTGTAACATTAATGACCCGTGCAAAAGAATTATTATTACTTTAAATTACTTACCATTTTAATTGTATCCCATAGGTTGGCTATTTAAATGTTATTTTTTTTATTACCATTTTGGTATACGTGTTAAAAATGTACATTACTCTATACGTATTTTCCTATTTTTAATTACAATTTCAAAATACATGGTTATATTAAAGGATAACTTAATTATATATCTATTTTATTAGCCTTTCTTTGTTATGCTAATTAGATTTTTAATTATCTTTTTTTATATACGTACTTAATTACTGTTACTATATTGCCAAAGCAATTACCATTTTATTAGCCTTTCTTTATTATTGTAATTAGATTTTTAGTTACCTTTTTTAAATACGTTTTTAATAGTTTATTACCAAAACACGATTCCGTTACCATAAAATTACATGTATTAGTGTTTCTTTATTATGGTAATTAGATTTTTAATTATCTTTTTATAGACGTACTTAATACTTTATATTAAATATACGTACTAAATACTTTATATGAATTTTATCATTCAAAATACATGTATATATTACGATTTTTAAATGTAATAATTTATTAGATATTACTCCGTATTACATATAAATTAGTGAATATAATTAAATACAATTACCATTTGTATAAATTAACATAATACCAAAATAATACTCCCTCTGTCCCCCTAAGATATTCTTATTTTGACTTTTGGTCCTTTTTAAGAAGAGTTGAAAAAAGGTGAAAGTTTACCATAATACCCTTAATGAAAAATAAGTGGAGTGTATTAAATGAGGTGAGTGAGGTGTAATAAATAAAGTAAGTGGGGGTAGTTGTGGTATTTTAATTGTTAAAAAATGAAATGAGAAGATCTATTGTGGACAAAGAAAAAGGGCTATTGGGAAGATCTATGGGGGACGGAGGGAGTACTATTTTATTACCATTTGTATAAATTACCGGAGTATATCTATTTTATTAGCCTTACTTTATTATGGTTATTAGATTTTTAATTGCCTATTGTGATATACGTACTTAATTTTTTTAATTACCATTTTTAAATGAAATAAGTTATTAGATATTATTACATATATATTAGTAAATATAATTAAATATAATTATTACCATCCATATTTTATTTAAAAAGCCATGGATTCTCAATTTGGTTTTCCCGCTCATTGGGTGTTCCAATAAAAATGGTAATTGTTCACTTCATATGGTAATGACTCAATTAAAATGGTAAGTAATTTAAACTTTAAAGTAATAATAATTCTTTTGCACGGGTCATTAATGTTACACGTTATTGACTCATTACCATTTATGGAAAACTTTCCACACGTGATTAATTTAAATTAAAAATAATTAAAAAAGGTGAGTAATTTAAATAATTAAATTAAATAATAACGTGCCGTCAAAAAAAGTTATAATGGCCAACCTAATTATGGGAAACAATTAAAATGGTAAGTAATTTAAAGTAATAATAATTCTTTTGCACGGGTCATTAATGTTACATGGTTTTGACTCATTCCCATTTAGAGCATATGCAATGGCAAGGTAAGTGGTTGCCTTGCCCTGCCATTAGTGGAGTGGAAGATAATACAATGGGAGATGCAATAATTGACTTGCATGGAATGGGGCGAGGCACCACTATATGCGTGGCTTGTGCAAGGAGAAATGAGCGGAACAATGCATGCTACTGATTGGACTGAATCCTTGTTCGTATAAACTGGTTAAAAAGGATTGATTTATTAACGGTAAGTGTAATTATGCTTGAATATTTTATTATTACTTTAAATTACTTACCATTTTAATTAAGTAATTACTCAATTATGGTAACTCTATTAATGACCCGTGTAACTCCATTTTAATTGAGTAATTACCATATGGAGTGAACACTTACCATTTTTATTGGAACACCAAATGGGCGGGAAAACGAAATTGAGAATCCATGGCTTTTTAGATAAAGTATGGATTATGTTTGATAAAACTTGATTATGTGTGTCAAATAATGAATATTGTAGTAATAAAAATGACAAGTGATTATTGTGAACCATGGACTGATTCCTATATAAGTTTGAATGATGTTGTTAATTATCATTGTTAAAATAACAAAGACAGCTTTTAATATGAATAGTGAATAGTTGAACATATATATGTGATTGGTATTGCTTAAGAAATTATTTCGTGAATTCTTTTGTTGTGTCATGGTATCATTCAGCTTCATTGCTGAGCGTGTAGACTTTTTTTATCATTCTACACGTAGGTATGAGAGAAAATAGAGGTGAAACCTATTCTGGAGATTACTGAGATGGAGGTGATGTGTGGACGTGCACAAATATATTATTTAAATAAATGATTTTATCACATTGTTGACCATGACGTTTTAGTTTGTAAATTGCTTCTGCATTGTTTTAAATAATTTTACTCTGATGTTATTATGAAATAGTTAGTACACTTGTTGAAATAAAGTTTTTAAATGTTTGAAATTTTTACATTACCAAGTTAATACTTTAGTCCAGAAGGGGCTGCAGACCTGGACGGATTAGGGTGTAAAGGATACATTATGGCGAAAGCATGAAAAGACTAAAGCGGATGAAGAAGATTCACTAGATAAAGAAGACACTGGAGAGGAGAAAGGGAACAAACCTTGGCAAAGAAAGTGTCGTAAAGGACCGGAAAAACGGCGCTGACAGGCGGAGGCGGTGAAGAAAATTGTAAAAAAATATTTAGAGGGAAAGAGACAATCGGTAAGGTGGATTGTGAAGATATAGGGGTCGGAAAAATGCAATGATAAAGTCTGCCATGATACAAAGACTGATCTTTCAACTTCACAAGGGCAATTGTTGAGATCTTCCAAAAATACGTGTGAAAACCCGCGATCTAGATCATCCTTTGCTGAGGAAATTGAGGCGGCCAAACGACGTCGCCTTGCCGGCCTGTATCAACGGAACACTCCCCTTCACCCGAAGGATCCCACCTCGGGGAGTGGAGGACTCTTGATGGAGATATGGGCTCATCCCCCTAGGCCCATCGAGAATAAGCATAACCTCAGCGGGGATATGGGCTTGCACCCTTAAGGCCCATAAGGATGAGGTTGGCCATACAGTACGCTATGCCTTTTTAGCCCCCTCGGCCTGACTGAGACGAGGTTGAGCTTGTCTTAGACCCCCGCGTCTCATTCAGGCGACCATCAAGCCCATCCTACGGCTCCCATCGGTGTCTCAAGCCTGGTCAAAGTCAACCCTTAGGGAATTGCAGGCGCTAGTGACCAGAGCATGGGGCGTCATCAGAAGTGACCCATCGTTGGGTGCGGTCAAGGATAGTTAGGGAGAAAGTAATGTATCCTAGACAAATATAATTAAGATGCCCATGGGCCTCTTTGACTAAGGACAAACGAGTACCGTCTCAAAATCAGATGTATAAATAGATCTCCTCTTTCAACATGGAGGGGATCGGATTCTGAGTTAATTAATTAATATTATTACAAGCTTCCCGTTGTAGTTAGGTTCATACTACCCGACCCCTTAGAATCCATCATTTATATGTTGAAGAGAGAGAAATTATAAAAGTCACAAAATTATTTTTAAAAATGGAAAATAATTACAGAGTAATTGTTTTAAAATGAATGAAAAATGTCAAACATTTTAGATTCCATATATGGTACAGTCGGTTGTACCTGAAATAAAGTACGCTCAGGTAGTACTCAATTTGAATTAAAGTAATATTTATTCTCGCACGAAACATAAGTGTTTATTTTGAAATAATGTAATACTCATTCTAAATTAACGTAATACGGAGTACTTATTTTCACATATTTAATCAATATAATTATCATATTCATTTATGAATAACGTAGTGTTCATTCCGCTTATCATTATTCTCTTCAAGTTTTAAAAAAATATACTCCGTAATTCGCAACATCCATCATCTTCATCGCATATCTTCACCATCGACATATTCATCACATAGCATCTTCATCTGTTTAAAATCTCAACCATCGAAGCAAGGTTTCATTTTGCAGCCGCCACCACCTTCAACTGTTGATCGTGGCCGATTCCTCGTCCTAGGGTTCTGCTTTCGATCGATTGTCGCTCTCCCCCTTCGTCGGCGGACCTTTTCTTCCTTCGATCTAATTACCGGCTATACAAGAAAAATGGCGAACACCGAATAAATTGTGAACATTTTTAGGGAGTGTATATTACTCTATGCGTCCTACAACGTCTTTCCTATTTACTATTTACATGGTCAATTTATTTTGTAGAATTCTTAATGTAGTTTTTAACTATATAAATTTATTTTTTAATTTTTATATTTATAATTAAATAAATTAAATTAAAAATAAAATAAATTAAAACTCGTAAACAGAAACGAGAAGAATATTTTACTAGTAAAAAATTGAAATTAGGAACCCTAGCGTAGGTATCTAAAATCAAAGGGCCACTCGCCGACTCTGGTTCGCGCGCACTCTTGTTCCAACCGGAACCGCGTCCCTGTCCGTACCTCGTAGCATCCTTTTCCCTTCCTTCTCATAAAAAAGGTATCGTTTTCTTTCATCTTTATATTTTGATTTTCCTTTACAAACGTCAATAGAAGTCCTCTAGTTTATCAATTGGATCACGTACCCCTTCAATCCAACTCACGATTCCAGCACTGAATTCCATTGACCCACGATTCCTTCTCTCTGAATCTCTAAAGCGCTCGCTCGGAACGATGAAGAAATCGAGTCATTTCTTGAAGAGCTCCAAAGATAAGCTCACGAAAGGCTTCAATTCATCCAAATGGTAATTTTTTGCTTGTTTTTTTATTATGATAATTCAATCTCTGTTCGGAAGATTAATCCGCGTGTGAATCTTATTAATCCGTAAACGCTTGTATGAACGCAGCAAGACGTCGCTAAAGCTGGCGTCCTCGAGACTGAAGCTGTTGAAGAATAAGAAGGAAGTGCAAGTGAAGCAGATGAGGAGGGAGCTTGGGCAGTTGCTTGAATCTGGGCATGACCAAACTGCTCGAATCCGGGTAATTTTCCTTAAAAAAGTAACACCTTTGTGTGAATCGTTTGGCTCTGATTTTATTGTAGGAAGCTAATGTAGGCCTTTTGTGCAGTTTGATTAATTGATGCCCATGATCTGCGATTTTTTAAAATTCATATTCTATATACTGATTTGTTTGATTTACCCCGTATTAGGTAAAATCCCATAGATTCATTGACTAGTGATTGTAGAGGTAAGGCCAACCTAATTTGAAGCCATTTTATAGTCATTAGACTGACTTGTGATTTGGGGGTTAAGTGGATATAGTTCGACGGAATATGGGACAGTAGATGATTGGCTCGGAAACCCGACTGCCACAGTGAATAAATGGTTCCAAAAAGTCATGATTAGGCTAATTGGTGGATTTGATTTACATTTTCTGGTGATTCCAATTTTAGAATGAGGTGCCAATCATGGGGCAGGGTGATTTTCAAAATCTCTAATAGAACCATGGGCATGGTGATTTCCAAAATCTCTTTTTGGAAACTGGAATCACCATTCTCTTTTTGGCCGAAGTATAAAACAAATATGGATAGACAGAAAAGGTGATTCTGATTCTAAATTCAGAAAAATCACTGCACAAATGCAAACGAGATACACCAAATATATGTAGTTTCTAGAAGAATCTGTATGTATGCATATGTCTCATTTACTGTGTATTTAGTCTTTAGTCTTTACCTTGTACTGAGTTGTATATTCTTAAATGAATTCAGTTATGCGGTTTAGTATCAGGCCATCTGGGGCACTTCTTCATAAACTATTCTTATTCAATTTTCCTCTTGAATTTGCAGGTAGAACATGTCGTTAGGGAAGAGAAGATGATGGCAGCATATGATCTTCTAGAGATATACTGCGAGTTAATTGTTGCACGCTTGCCTATAATTGAATCACAAAAGTATGTAAGACAATCTTATAATGTGAGTGACTATTTGCATCATTATTACAAGAAACTGATTAAAAGTTAAACCTGACATTGAAGGGAAAGTTATTAGTCTCCAATATTCATACAAAATTGCTGGCTGATTTTCTTAGGGGTTCATGGGTTCATCTTGTCGTTTATGATACAGAAACTGTCCCATTGACTTGAAGGAAGCCATTGCTAGTGTAGTTTTTGCCTCACCAAGATGTGGAGACATACCGGAACTTGCAGATGCCCAGAAACACTTTACAGGAAAATATGGGAAGGAGTTTATCACTGCAGCAGTTGAACTGCGTCCCGATTGTGGTGTTAGCCGCCTTGTAAGTTCAACTAACAACATTTGATATGTTGTCAATTGTCTACCTTTGCTTTGTAAAGTTAGTTTTGAGTATCTCACTGCTTTTGAGCATTGTGGTTCCCTGGCACCCACCCATTTGATTGTTTGGGTAGTCCATTTGAGGGCTGTTTTCAAGGTCAGTCGTACAGAAATGAGACCTTTGCGCGGAAGTATTTTTAGGTCAATTTTTATACATTTGAAAATAGGAATATTGTGTTGAATGCACAGTATTCTATTTTTTTATGAGCCTTTAAATTTTTATTTTATACAGACTAGGAATTTGTTTTTGATATTCTGTTCTAACACTCATTTTTGTGATGACAAAAGAACATTGTTTAACTAAAAAAACTATATTTCGTAGAGAATATAACATTAATACACTATATCAAAATACAAATATTTAACACAATTACTACAACGTAATGTTCTTTTGATTTTCGCCTATATTGGAAGATTTTTACGCATGTTTTAATGTAAACAAGGTGTAATAAGACAAATTATATTTTTGTGTGAGATTATTAATATTAATATGTTTTAAGGCTATGAACATATATGATAAGCCCATTTGGTAGCGTGATTCACGGTATCCTGCATATCAACAGCTTTTAACTTAGGTTACAGAGTATTTGGTTAAATGGATTTTATCCAAAAAAAAATTCTGAAAGTTCACGATCAATCATTTTAGCCAAATTTCCTATATCAAACGGGATTGATATATCTTAATTACTTTCTCAAATGAGCCTCAGATTTGACCCTGTGTGGTTGCCCCTCACCGCACACACAAAGGGCTGGTCTAGGTCCATTGTCCATCCTTTGAGTTGCCTAGTCTGGCTGAGGGGGTGTGAGTGCAGTACTTCGTATATAAGTGCAGGGTTGAATCTCACAATCTTTTAAGGATCATTTTAGGGCGAGTTAGACCCAATTTAATAGTTAATACGGAGTAGTTAACAGCTAAATTCATTCATCTTGTCACTTTCTTTCAGTTAATTGAAAAATTATCTGCCAAAGCACCTGATGGGGAAGCCAAGTTGAAAATACTGACGGCAATTGCAGAAGAACAAGGCATCAAATGGGATCCTGATTCATTTGGGGCGTCAGATTTACCTGTTAATGACTTGCTGGTACTCTTCTTTTTCTCTCAAAGGGTTTCATCAACACTGTGTTCAAGTTGATTTTTGTGTGTGGCATTACTGAGTTTCTCTGATGGATTGATTGGCCAGAATGGACCAAATACATTCGAGAGAGCTTCCAAGGTGCACGAGGAACCTCCTCCCTCTGAATATCGGGATGCTAGGACTCCAACTACCCAGAGTCAGGTGTCAAATGATTCTCTGAAGACATCAGAAGAGAAATTCAGATCCTCAATGGGAAGACAAACTTTTGCCTCCCCACAAGGTGGCACTAGTGGTGTACTGCCCACTCAATCTTCCCAACTTGAACAGAGACATTCAGGTAGTTATTTAAGTCCAGCCATTAGTGATATTGATTGCATTTGGGATCACTTATTTTCATAGAATAGACGTGTTTTAGAGGAAGAAAAGTACTACCGTACTTCATAAAGAAATGGGAAAAGTCTGTTTAACAATATACTCTGCTTCACTCTCATAATGCCTATGTAGCAAAGCAGTAGGTTTTGATGCGTTTTCAACATTATCGCTTTAAAATGCTTAAAAACAAGGACGTACTCCATAAAATATCCCAAACAAAGGTTCTTTGTTGTGCGTGCATGATCTAACTTATTTACTTTAAGGTGCTGTTTGTTTCAGCCTCTTAATGGTTCAGATGTCTGAATGATTCAGCACTTAATGGTTCAGACTGTTTGTTTCAGCCTCTTAATGGTTCAGATGTCTGAATGGTTAAGAGATTTGCCTCTGAATGGTTAAGTATTATACAGAGTCTGAATGGATAAGAGCTCTTATCTGAATTGATCAGACATTTGCCTCTGAATAGTATATACTAGCTCTTAATGGTTCAGACCTCTTACTGGTTCAGCACTTAATGGTTCAGACCTCTTACTGGTTCAGCACTTACCCATTCAGAAGTTGCCAAACAGCCCCTAAATGTTGGTTCATGCATCAGGTTTTAGGTCAGAAAGGACCAATGCTGGGCAATCATTTCCAGAGGATGGAAACTTTTCTAATGATAGGCAGAATTGGAATATGGAATTCAAGGATGCTGCAGCTGCTGCTCAGGCAGCAGCTGAGTCTGCAGAACGGGCAAGTATGGCTGCAAGGGCTGCTGCAAAACTTTCTAGGATGTCAGAGAGGTACCAAACAGAATCACCTACATCTCAGGTAGGCATTGAACAGCAAGTATACTCCGGTGCATCAATACGGAAAGCTGAACAGCACCAATATCAAGATTTAGCTGAGAGAAATGCTGGGTTTCAAGATTATAATATGAAGAAAGCCAGCAGTCCTGAAGAACCAGACAGGTCAAAAGAAGAGCAAGGTAAAGTGGAAAAGGTTGCCAACAAGCCCGCTTCTGCCAAGTTTGAACCCCAATACATGAGTGGCTATGAGGAAGATATAAACTATTTTGGAGAAGAGAGTAGTTCGGTAGAAGTTAATAATGTTCCTTCTACTTATGATTCAAGAACATCAATGGACGGCGATCACAGTCATAACCAAAATGTTACGTATGATGTGGGCAAAAACTTTTTTGCCGCTGCAGAGGAAGTACATGTCAACCCGGGAAATCTGAATACAAATTCTCATGATGCAGAGTTTGCAGTTTTTGATAAATCTAGCTCCGATGGTGATGGTTATGATGATATTCATTTTCAAACAGAGCCCTTATATGATGACCAGCAGGCAAAATTATATTTTCCATCACCTGAAAGAAAATTGTCAGAAAGCTCTTTGACCTCACAGATTTTTGTACAAAGACGCGACTCACCTCCCGAGTCACCTAAAAGATTTGAA